CCTGTAAGTGATGTTCGATCTTAATTATGTGAAGTCCTCGTCGAAGTAAATAGCTCCTTCCCACCCTATATATCACCCAATTGTTGCAACAACTTGGCTTACTTAACTTGAAGTAAGTGAAGGTTTATAGGCGACCAGAGGGGAGAAAGGAAGGGGGAAGGGGCGCGGTGCCGCTTCCCTTCTCTGCGTGCGCGCTTTGAAATCGTAGCGGTTGGGTACTACTACGAGGGTACTACGATACGTATTCTAAATATTTACTTCGACGAGGACTTCACATAATTAAGATCGAACATCACTTACAGGTAAGTTCGTTTGATCATGTAATTTTACTGTTACCAGCAGATATATGCTGGTTGAAGTATCAGCCGTATCACTAACTTAACACATATACGATGTTTTGATCTATACTAATAATGAAACAAAAAAACAAGCTAACCAAATTAAAACTGTGTAAAATAACATGAGTAATTCAATAGTAGCAAGCTGGCTTCAGAACAAACGCTTCGGGTTGCTTTCAGCAGTGGTGCTCTCCCAATTAATAACATTCTGTTTTCAATTTGTACCAAAGCGCACTGCGCACTTGCCACCAGTGGCTTGGACCGACGAGACTAGGCAGAAGGAGCAAATCTGATTTTTTTATCTCCAAAATCTCATAGCCATCAGCTTGACAGTTGTCATTTGACATAAAATCTGCTTTTTCCGCGAAAACATAAAAGTGCGTGGGTTCCACACAGTCCTGGCGCTCCATACAATTGTCGAAAATTGCGAAGGATTCTGTTGCATGCAAAAAGCCGTTTAAACTGAATAATCGATCCATATATTATAGACATCGGCGTTGCAAAATAGCATTCATGACTATAATATATACGCATAAAACTAAGCCGTTAATAGATCATTCTTTTTTTGGTTAATGCAGGTTTGGTTTGTGAATAGTTTTTTTGTGGTTTTCGTAATTTGTGTTACACTTTTCTTGTCCTGTCATTATTTACATCCGTCCCTTAACCACAGGTTGGATTGTTAATAATTATTTATAAATAAAATCAGGGATAAGACTAAACGCATCTTCAACTTATACAGGATTTATGGTGATTTATGAGAATTATTTGTAAAAAAAGGATTTATGCAATTTTGAGCAGGCTTTTACCCTGTGAATCTGTCAAGCCATTTGGACTGTGGCCTATGAAAACGCGCGGAAAACATAAACCTTCTTGAGGCAATCGCGTAAAAAGTTGCAATACATGATAATACTTTTCGAAGAAATTGAGAGCTCCAAATATTTGTTGTACTACATCGATCCAAGAGCCATACTCTTACATGTTTCAATCCCTTCTATAGAGGAAAACATCTGAGGCAGCCACTGTACTGAGCGGGTGGTGTTGTTGTCGCCATATTAAAAGTAATTGCACCTATCTAGTTGAAACGCATAAACGTAAGCGACAGGTCCATTTAAATTCCGAGAATAGCAAACAGAACAATACATAATTTTGTTAATGTGTATATGCAAATGATTTCCTTTGCCAGTTTCTCACGGTTTGTTTTGCTTATTATTCTTCACATAGGTATATTTCTGATTGAATTATTTTTATAATACCGGCTAGGTTCTCAGATTATTATGGCAGTTCTGTGTTTTACGAAACAGCCACTGAAATCCACTTTTGAAATTAGCTTATACTGTCAGTGTTTCTGACTGAAATGCAGCAAACTCCATTATACGAACAGGGCTTCATGAATTGATTTGCAGGGAAAATTTCATTAGCATCATCTCTCATTACACACAATACTACAGATATTTAACGAGATTTGAGTGTAATAGGTAGCTGTAGCTGGCCTACTTGTGTATGAGCAGACAAGTTATACAATATTATTATGGCTACCAAGCGTATACAATTTGAAAGGTATATGTATATAGTATAACTGAGTATGTGGAAAGTTTTTACTAAGAAATTTGGGGCGACAGCAAAATAATTTATAGGCTGCTGACAAATTGGGTACCATCAAAGAAAGTATGATAGCTTGAGTGTTTCCTATAGGTAAAAAGTCAATAGCTCGTGAAATTTTTCGCTTAGCTATGATCAAGATATGCAAAGATTGAATTCTCCCAGCAAGCAGAATTTAGAATTGTTTTTTAATAGTAGATTCTGCTTTATTCAATTGGTTTTGTAATAATTCCAACGCAAGTGATTCTGAAGCATGACTTGGTTGGCTGTATTGTCATTTGGTAATTATTTCGAACAAATGGCTTGCGATTTTGGTAAAAGAAGACCCCAAGTCTGTAGCGTGGACTAATTAGGCAATGGGCTTTTCCACCTCTTGTCAGATGTGAAATACATTATTTATCACGAAACAAACATTTCAAATCCTTGATATTCATATCCATCTGAAACTTATCCTGTGATTTTCATGGTGATAGTCCCCATGTTCATTTAGCCGAATCAAACCGCATATAAATATGCTAACTGACATATAAAATGCAACACCCAGAATTATTTATTGAATTTTGATAAAAACTTGTAGACATATTTGCTATCATGGTATACACAATATGAACATGTTAACTTGATATTCAGTGATTTTTTTTTGTGTTGATTCCTTACGTTTCATTGTTATTTCATTGCATTATCATACCTAGAGATCCCAGACGCGCTAATTTCACTGAACTTCCCGAGTTTTAGAGCGGTCGGATGATCGGGTTACGTGAAACCGGATTTTCTTTTAGAGAAATACCTAATCGGGCCAATCGAAACGAAGCTACTGTAATCAGATGTTATCGAGCATGGTTCCAAGAAGGCCGAAGTTGACGAGTTAGAGGTACTGGACGTCAAAGACATACTAGAGAGCGACAGAATCGTTATTTGAGGCAACTAGCACTTAGATATCGATTTTCCCCAGCAGGGGCAGTTGCGACCAGTAGTTTGATTCTGTCGGAAGGGAAGAACAATGAGGACACTTTATCGCCGAATAAGGTCCTTTGGATTGTTTTCATACCGTCCCCATCTTGTACTACCTCTGACCCCACAGCACCGTCGGCAACGATTGGTATGGATTATTTTTTTTTCTACTCCAACTACCACGAAGGCCTAAGGCCTAAGCACCCATTGGGTACCGTGGGGTATAGGGGGATACATGGGAAAGGGGGGGCCACACGGACTCTGGCGAGGGAACACGTGTGCATGCAACATGCACAAATTCTGGCTCCGCCTACGAGAACCGCCGGGTGGTACCTCCGCGTTCGACAGTCAGAGACCATCTACCACCTACGGACAATCACAACATCCATAGCCAAGAGAAAAATTTCTCCTGGGACGGGACTCGAACCCGCACAGCGCACGGCGACTGATCAGGAGACCGAAAAGTCTACTACTGCGGCCACCGCTGCTGCCTAGGGAGAGACTTGAATGGAATATGGAATGGAACTCAGACGTGTTCAGCTATGACTGTGGGTGTTATGGTATGGGGTGTCATTGCTTACGGTAGCAAGTCACAATTAGTGTTCATTCGAGGTAGCACGAAGTTTTACAACTTCATCTGCTTCCCTTTTTGGAAACATTGCAAGATCCACTTTTTCAGCAGGACAATGCACGACCTCATGTCGCACGTGTTAGTTTAGACTTTTTAGAAGCGTCTGCTTCACTGGCCTCCTCGATCCACAGACCTTTCTCCCATGGAAAATGTATGGGACATGATGGGAAGAAGGTTGCGAAATTTACCGCAGCCTCCACAAACATTGGAGGCTCTACGAAACCAAATACACCCAATACACCAAGAAGACATCAATCACCGTAACGAATGTATAGCGAACAGGGGAGCTGCAACACATTATTAACATTAAGATGGGATATCTCAGCTATCTTGCGAAATTTCGAGTTGAAATTTTAATCACTTTTTATTTATCAGTAGTAGACCTAAAACTTGTAAAAGTATGCTCAAAATTACAACACTACTAGTCGGTGTTGCATTTTCTATGCCATATACTCGTAGTATATATTGTACGACGTTTCGGCACAGATTATAGCTTCGGTTCCAAGTACAAATGACACTTATGACAATATATTTTGTTCATCTTTCGTCCAGATGACACATAGTTTGTTTTCTTTCATTAACACATTTCTATACAGCGTGTTACTACAATAGTCTTGAGTCTGAGTCCAGCCCCACAAAGCGACAATCGAGCATGAGGTTTTCTGTCGTTATTTAAATGTACCTGGCACGTCACCCTCGCACGCAAAAACCCACCCAGAACTATTGTCCCATCACACTGTTGAATTGTTAAGCAATATGCTGCATGTGCATGGTTTATGGATCCTAAATGCGAGAAGTAGTACTTCGACATCTGAAAGGAACCATGTTGTTTGTCTTATGAGAATATGATTTAAGACACAACAGTTCTTTACTTCCAGGTTTTTCTTATGATTTGTTAATGGATCTCGAACGCACAGACGTTTTACATCACCATCTCAAGGGCAAAGTGTTGTTTCTTATAGTATTTCCTTATAAGACAAATAACATGGTTTCCTCTGATTGACGATGTCTCGCATTAAGACTCCACAACCAATGCACACGCAGCATTTGTTGTCGAAGATTGCATAACAATAATGGACCGGTTTTTTGCGGCAAAAGTTCTGGGGGTTTTTGCATTTTTAGAGGATCTTTGGCGATTTCGGAATAATGGACGAGAGTGCCGTGTCCGGTACATTAAAAAAAACTGACAGCTTCATGCTCGCTTGCCGTTTTGGGGGGCTGGACGTCCTTTTGGGAATACCTGTAGAGTATTAATAAATACTTCTCCATTTCCATACCCACTTTTCACAGAAATACAAACACATCACTATCATAGATGTATATATATGGTGTGAAGGCCTCCTTCATTTGTCGACAAAGGAACCAAAGAATAAAAATGACAAAAAGGATATTGATAGCACGATGGCGTTGGAAGAACCAACCTGTTGGTTTTTCATGTAGATTTGAATAAAGCACAACCTATCATTTTGTTGTTGACTTACCCGTATGCGTTCTCTGGTGCGCTTTGAGGTGCGAGCTTTTCGTGTAAACCTTTTTGCAGCCGAGGAATTGGCACTTGTGTATCCTGCGTTTGGAATCGGGTGAGTGGTCCAGCCGCGAGTGATGTTTCGTTTGAGGTTGCGTCGTCGATGACGTCACGCCGTTCCCGGTCACCTGCGGCCGAGGCACCACAGATATATACCTGGAACAAATGTAACATATGATTTGATTAAACATGGACGTTTCTGTGAACAAAGCCACATTTAGAAATAGTTAAATGCAGTCATTTTTTGCTGTAGAAATTCACCTTTTCTTCCTGTATAATTCATTCATGGCACCACATCCATACATGAATCGTGGTCATATAAAAGGCAAGCTTCTATTTTGAATACATAGGAACCAAATGAGTTAGCAGCACTAGTTCACTTCACATTCCCATATGACAATATGTTTTTCAAAAGATAGATCATTTGAATACGGACCTAATAAATCAAAATTCAATTCAATTTTATATTTGAATTAGCCTAGATTCCAAAATCAAGATTAGACCTCAAAGTTGTTCAATCCCTCCCCGCAATATATCACATGGTTTGCGTAATTCCTTAACCAAGTTCAAGTTGAAAGATTCTGACAAACGGAATCAGTAGTAATTTTAGACAAAATATTGGGGGATATTTTTAGATCAAAGAAACTCACAAGGTGTAAAAGAAGAACATTATCATCCTCTGCGAGCATAACCACAATTCTTTCTATCGCACATTCCAGTACATTGCAGAAATCCAGTTAGGGTCACCTGATGGGATCACCAAAATATCTGGGCAAAATTTCAAAAACTCGGGATTTTGGGATTATAGTCGGGAAAAATAAATATTACTAATTCAAAACAACGGTCGGCGGCGAGCGGATGAGCTAATGTTCAATCGAATGAGTGAAGTGATTTTTAAATCGCGTAATTTTAAATTTCCATAATTTTAAATTTGTGGAAACCCTAAATCGGGTGCCTGACTGTGAAACTTCTGTAGTAAATGGTAATGTTCGTCTGCATGAAGAGGTAGCAGTAAGGAATACCTACAAGAAGTATTAGTCTTCAAATAACTGCATATAAACTTTCCGAACTGAAATGGTTGAATGTTTCCAATCGAGAAAAGCTGCATTTTGCTTGCTTTCTTCATAAATTGATTAAAACTAAAAGCCCTCCATATCTGTTTGAAAAATTAACTCGTAGAAATCTGATTCACTCTCGTGCAACACGCTTTAATGTACTTTATGAAATACCTAAAATAACTAAAACCATGACTCAAAGCTCATTTTCCTGTACATCAGTCAAACTTCTAAACCAATACAATATAGGTCAATTTGAAGACATGTCTCCTAATATGTTCAAACGAAAACTGAAACAACTGCTTCTGTGAAGTATAAGTTGTTTATTATTGCTTATTTTCTTTGTATACGTACATCTGTAGTTATTATTGTTCATTGTTGTTATGTAATATTCTAAAATTAATGTAATGTAAAACTTGTTTCTTGTCATATTACTTTTCTTTTTGGCTTGTTGTTACTTTTTACATGCTCGGTTAAGTTAACAGCATAGCTGGCCTTCGCCGAGTTTAAAATAAAGGCGTTTTTATTTATTTATTTATTTATTTATTTATATAAGTAAGGGTACTTATATACAATTATTTGTATTTGACTGGTTTTGGTTCTTCAAGAAACGCAGTTTCCTCTCATAAATTTGACTAAAAGGAGCCATGAAGAAGAATGAATAATTCTATTACCCAAATTACCTCAACACTGTCAGGTATGCAACCAGACATACCTTACCACGTCTAAGCAAGAGCACATACGAAGAGAACCTCTGAGTAAAGTCTTTACAAATACTACACAGGCAATGAGCAAATAGTAAATACCAAAACAAAATATTTATGCAATCCGATCTAATCAATTTTCTGAGAATCTCATACTTCGAAGTAAAAGGGCCAACAGAAAAAAACAATTCCAAATGACGTGTCAATGGAGAAGTTTAGTGATGTTCACAATCGCATAAGTAATGACATACCAGCAAAATATAGATGAAATATAATCAACCAGTGAAAAAATTATTGAAATCGGTCAATAAATGACAGATAAATTCATACTTAAAGTTGGCGCATTATAGCGCGAAATCATTGCTGCCGTCAGTTTGCGTCTGACGCCACACTTCGCTAGCCGAGCGTACCGACAGCGTCTGTGCGATTAGTAATTAGTCTATAGACAATTCATAAGACACCTGTGCGCTTGGCCTTTCTAGTTGATAACCACTGAGTACTGCGTAAGTTCGTACCAGTATGGAAGCTGGATTTGTAAAAGGGTCAAGTGACAATTTGCTTAAAATTGACATTTATGCAGTGATGGAATATATTTATTCAAAACCACCATATACAAGCGCAGAAATAAAAGGTCAGAAACTTTGGAAGTAAGGATTTATGCCTATTGCTACACTATCACAAGTAGCAGTAAAATGTGCGATTTGAAACAAATTAATGTTGATGCCTAATATGAGTACAGATTTGCGAATATGACACGATATTTTCCAGCTCAGGTAGATATTCGTATCGTGAAGATGCTATTGGTTATGTTCAGTTGAAACGTGAAGGTACAAAATGCATTGTAAAATGCAGAGTTACACCTGCCCATAAAGTGAAAACTATGCCAGTCTGTGACGAATGTGAGGAAAAAATTGAAACTGCTGTGTGTCATAAATGTGCTGCTAATCTTGGTGGATGTAAAGACCCAATAACGTTTTTGATCTGGCTTTTGAAAAGAATCGAATCATTTCTTCCTGATATTGTCATGTGAGGGTACGTAGAAAAAAATGTTTAATAGGGGTTGCAATTGTTGTGCTCGTACATTTTGGAATGATACTGTTCTACTTATAATAACCTTTTTATTATTATTTCGCTCATAACCGATCATATATGCAGTCAACTAATTAAACAAACTGGCGCGGAAGACGTTTAGCCTACCCGCAGCAAATCTAGACGTACTTCGGTAGAATCCGTTATTGTCATTGCACATTATATCCCAAGGCGCCAGACAATCGACGATGAAATCAGACACTCGTTTGTTGAGCATTGTTGAGTGACACTGTCGCGGGTCTAAAATGCGCCAGTAAAAGGGCACTTAGTGGTAAAGTATGAATAGCGCGGTGTCACAGTAGTATTACTTCGGATACTATCTTTTTTTATAATAATAGTCACATTCGTAGCATCGCTTGTTTGGCGCGATCTTTAGTCTTCTCTTTCTGATAAATCAGGCGCTCTAACACCTTCAATGCGATAGAAGTAAATGATCGTGAAACGAGAAATTCTGCAGATTTTTTTTCGCCAACGAAAATTCTTAAGCAGAAAAGTAAACATAGGGGGAACAACGGCCTAATAGGCCCTATCTCCTCAGTATATCGATCCATGAAAGCCAGAGTTGTTTTTCAAAGCAGATGGAAGAATTTGGAACGCGTTTTCCAGACAATATTTTAGAAACTATATGAAGTTTCACATTCCTACAAATCTTTGGATAGAACAGAACTCGATTCAGGTGTCACGATATGAATTTCTGAGGGCTGTTCAATTTTGGGTTCCACAAGTATTCAACAAGTATCAGAATCTTTAATGTAAGTACGAGTATAATAGTTCGACTCAGCAACTAAACTATGAGTCGCTAAGTTTTATGAACAAGTTCGTCAATGGAGCTACAAAACTGAAGAGTGCTGTTCACATTAGCAGGTTTTCTATAGCTGACGATCCAAAATACCAAGGAGCAACGAAAATGAAATCCTTTTTTCCGGTAACTTACTATGAGACAATGAGAAAATCGGACGGTCCCTTGTTATCAACCATGTGTGAAATAGGATAATTTTTTGTACTAGAAGCTTTTCCCTTCTTCACTCTCTCATTTTTCGAGTGTCATCACGTTGGCGCTGGACAATGACCACGCTAAGGCTTGGCTAACACCTTGCAGCCGTTCTGTAGTTAATTAAGAAAATAACAAGAAATCATGCAATCATGCAACGGATCAGAATAACGTGTTATATTAAAAATGTGGGACCTCTTACCTTACCCAAAACACCAAATAATGAATATGTTTAATTGAGCTACAATAACCTAAAAATAGTCATTGACATATAAACGTCGATAGTTTGGCGTAAAGGAGACTGCATATTTAACAAGTCCTCCAAATATGAGTTGCTGAAGTATGGAGTGACGATAATCTGGCGAACCAAAGCCCGATAAAACGTCGCGTCGTATCAATGATCCAATGTAAAATTATCTAATGCAAAAACTGACTAAACTATTTTTGACTTTGAAAAGTGATATTATACATCCAACAGTTAATCTATATCTTGCATGAAACCTATGAACTTCAAAAAGATCAAATATTGACTATTTTTGATATTCTGTCTGCCGCGGTATGCAAGTTTCTGCTGAATTTAGTACGCTAAATTTCTAACAAAATTAAGGATAACATCAGACAGCATTAAATATTTGATTTTGCATGAACAAAGGATCAAAGCCTGTAAACGGGTGTTTCGGACCAGAAAATAATTTGTGCATTTACATACTTCGTAACATGTGAGTTGTACGCTTTCATGAAGATTTTACTTTTCATTTTAGCAGGTACTTAATACATCCTCAGAAGCCTAAACTTCGCAATTTTGTCATTTTTGTCCAAATTTTGCCCATTTTCAAATATTTAACTCACTATTTTTATATGAACGCATAGTACTTCAGCTCGATTTGAAACAGGAACTATTTGCAATCATGCGCTCAAAAAAATTTTAAACATTCGAATGTTGGACAAAAATGTCAAAATTTCGAACTTTACGTTAAGTACTCAAATAAAAAAGAGGATCTTGAGATGAAAGTTTAAAATAGAAGTTTCTGACTTCAAAAAATTTATAAACTTAAAACCATCTTTAAATTTCAGTTACTTTAGGGTCCGAAAAACCCGCTTATAGACTCTGACCATTTATTGCAAACTTTTTTACTGTATAGTGGCTGCTAGGGGCGCAAATCATTTAAAAACCTTTTTTTTGATACCAGAGGTCCATAATGTGAGATTTACTTAGTCTCTACATTGAACTGGTACTACCAAACTGCATCATCATCAAAATTACATAGCATCTGCGATTTAATACGTCGTCTTCCTAATGAAATTTCAATTGCAACACAACGTCAATTTTACTGTACAATAGTTAAATCTTTGACTGCATATAGTTCGGGGTTCTTAACGGAGTGCCTTGTTAGTTTGTATTGCTCAGAACCGTATAATTAGATGTATGCTCAGGTTGCATCCTCAGACATCATGTAGAGATTTATATCACACTTGTCATGTTCGTCCAGAAATATTCAAACACAGTTAACTGCAAATATCATCACTACGCAGATAGTATGACCACTGAAACTAATAGAAAATGTAGCTTGAACATACCTCCCCATACTTCCACATATTTCAAGCAAGGCCCCATATTCATGGCAATAAAAGCATATAACATGCTACCGGACACCATCAACGGTGCACTCAATGTGATAGCTTCTAAGAGAGTAACTGCCAAGTATCTGTTGCTTGTACGATTTTAACTTTGATTTTAATATGTAATTTCGTGAAGATTTGTAATGTTCTTGTCTTAAATACCAATTTTACTTTAATCTTACTTTATACTTATAATGTTCCGACACCTCCGCGGACACCTACATTTTGACGTTGCCATGACTTTGTTATTAAGATTTATAATAAAGAAATATGAATTTTAAATTTGGATAAGCAATACGTAGGAGTAACAGTAAAAGAAAACCACGAAAACCACTGAGCTGACGACAAAACTGAAAAGAAAATATCTTGCGCAAATAGCAAAAGTTTGATTAGTATATATGTTTGATATTGTGACACATGATGTTCGAAGTTGAACGAAATATAGTCTTTTTTTGCCCAAATTCGTGTAGTTTCAAGCGAAATTTATTAATTTATTATAAAAAACTTATTTCTGTAAGAGAAGTGATTCTAGTTCTGAAAAATTAGGTACTAAATTTAGTAACAGTTCTTTTTCCAAATAAACAGAAATGTGTGAGATTTAGTATCGGCCATTCGAATTATCTAAAACATTCACTAATACTATGGATATTAGTGTGCTTTCCTGGACCGAAAAAGAATGGAATAATCTCTGTCAAATATCTTCCACGGGGCTGGCTACGCACTGCAAAATTATCCTGTGAGTGAAAATAATACGTTTACGCTTCGACTGATCTTTGAAGTTCCAGGGTAATTAATTACCCTTTTTAAAACATAGCAAAACATTACAAAACATTACGCGTAACACATACAAAGCATTCCATCCACTCCACAGAGCTCTATATGCATAATGGATTTTTTTATGCCTCTGAAATTCACAGTTGCTATTAAAATAATTTGAAGGTATTATTTTTTTTTTAAAATATAGTAATTTGACCTTGAACCATCACAGAATATGTCTTTCTTTTTGAAGTAACACAGTTTGAAAAATTGGGGTATCATCAACAGCTATCTTGTTACGGAGTCCGATGAAAATGCAGAATCCCCTGGTTTACCGTTTTTTTCATACTGAAGCAGATGCATAGGCAGAAGCATAATACCAGGGTACTGCGGTTGCTATGACGAGCAGAAAGAAACTTTGTTTTAATCAGCTTTTTGAACTGCCTAAGGTCAGTAGAACTGGTATATTGTTCCACAATCTCGAAAACATAGGGACAAAGGAGTGCTCATATCGGCCAGTTCTGGATGTACGGAATTAGACGCGGTTAGGATGGGAGGCGTGTCTGCTGACAGGCTCATCACGCGGCGGTATCATGAAGGAAAGCTCTAAGCAGCAAAGCCCGTCGGCGCGAGAGGGTCCCGAGACTGTCCGTTAGAGAAGAGTCATCAATCATTCGGACATCCTCTTCTGAACAGCATCGAGCATGAATAATGTAGTCGGGTCTGCAGCATCCCAATCATGTGAGCAGGACTCGAGGCTAGGTCTTATCTGGGCCGTGCACAGAGTGAGGAGGTTATATGGAGAAAAGTACTGCTTAGCCCTAAACAAAACGCCTAGCTTTTTCCCAGTAGCTGTCGCTATGGACGAGATGTGTTCGTGCCGGATTAAGACCTCGGTGATCTGGACTCCGAACAACCGAAATGAACGGCTCTTTGGTAGAATTAGGCCAACCATCGAAACCAGATGAGCGTTATGGCGCTTCTTGTAATTCAAGTTGAAGTACTGTGTTTTGTATGCATTAAAGTATGCCAGATTCTTGGGTCCCAAGCAGAGATAATTCCTGCATGTAAAGTGCAGTTATCAGCAAACGTGTGGATGGGATTGCTCATATAGAAACGGGGATTGTTGATATGTAAGATGGACAATGTCGGAGTCAAGACCGATCCCTGAGGAACACCCGCATTGACATCCAACAATTACGACGGATATCTGGCGGCCAAAGAGTAAGATAGCCATCCGTCTGCAAAGCTTCTCTGGGACCTAATAAAAGTAATCTAAGGTTGATGCCGTCTTTCGACATTATGTATGGATGTGATGGTCATACATTGAGATATGGTGGAGCTTTTTACGTGTACATACTGAGAAGTGCTGGACGTTTTACGTAGCTGTGAGCCTGGCTCTTAAGCTGTGTGTGAGAGAGCGTATCTTGGATGGCATTCATTGGTTGGCAAATTGGTGGACGACTACGAATTAACTGGTTTAGCAAATTTCTTCGTATCCTAGATATGTGCCTTTAGTAAAGTACACTCCTACGAACTTAAGCGTCGATCATAATCTTATTGGAATCTATCTAGAAGTAAGAAAAAACGAATCAGTGGCACTCATATTTGGAGGACTTGTTAAATATGCAGTCTCCTTTGCGCCAAACTATCGACGTTTATATGTCAATGACTATTTTTAGGTTACTGTAACGCAATTAAACATATCCATTAATGGGTGTTTTGGGTAAGGTAACAGGTCCCACATTTATAATATGAAACGTCTTTCTGATCCGTTGCATGATTGCATGATTTACTGTTATTGTCATAAGAACGTTTATATGGGAAACACTTTGGCATTTTCTGAACTACAGATTGGCTTAGCGTAGTCATTGGCGAGCGCCAACGTGATGAGACTCGAAAAGTGAGAGTGTGAAAAGCTTATAATACAAAGAAATTATCCTATTTAACACATGGTTGATAACAAGGGACCGTCCGATTTTCTTATTCGCTCATAGTAAGTTACCGGCAAAAAAGGATTTTATTTTCATTGCTCCTTGGTATTTCGGATCCTTATCTATAGAAAACCTATTAATGTGAGCAGCATCCTGAAGAATTTGCTCATAAAACTTAGCCACGCATAGTTTAGTTGCTCAGTCGAACTATTATACTTGCATTAATGATACTGGTACTTGTTGAATACTTGTGGAAGCCAAAATTAAACAGCCCTCAGCATTTCATATCGTGACACCTGAATCAAGTTCTGTTCTATGCAAATATATGATCGACGCTTAAGTTCGTAGGAGTGTACTTTACTAAAGGCACATATCTAATATACGAAAAAAAATTGTTAAACCAGTTAATTCGTAGTCGTCCACCAATTTGCCAACCAACCAATACTCCACCTGATAAGGCGAAAACAAAGAGTACATAGCAAAAATCTCGTATGGCATGAAACACATTAGTTAGTTTGAAGTTCCATTTTCATACGTTGCTCAACACAGCAACGGTAGCATTCAAAAGGACCTGAAAGTTCTTATGAATAATGTACATACTTTATTCAACTTACCTAGCGATTCCAGAGGTTCTCACCCTGACGATCGCGTTCCGATGTTGCGTGCTAGCTATACGTAGTCCGCACATTTCTAGATCACTGGCCGCCGAACCTGACGAACTTTCCGTACTGCTGTTGTGGCCGCCCCGACCTGACGATTCGGGACTCGAAGGAGGTGTCACTAACCGGGCGCTGCAACAAAATAAATGAAATTTTAGAGACGAATCAAAGAGACATCTTTACATTTATGATAAAAGTAATATAAAAATGTATTAATGTATAGAAAAAATTAAAAACTGAAATACAGATTGCGGCAGCTCAACTTCCTTTTGTAAAATGTGCGCTATTCAGTTGGTTGATATCGTAGAGGAGTGCTAGTGGTCTCGTTCGAGAGGCGGAACTATAAAGTTTTGCCCCAATACAGTTCAGTCGCCATCATGCGTTGGAACATTGAGGAACGTGCATACTAGGCTCTACAAGACTAACCCATAATAAATTTGTACAAAAATATATTTTCTTAGTTGTTTCACCATATTCATCATAAAAAAGTTCTTTGTTAAATCCATTATTTTTATTATTATACATAGTATTTTACTGTAATCCACATATCAAAATTTCATACTATCCTTGATATTACCCCAAAACACCTAGATACACAATATTTTTACAGATTGAAATCTACAATATGAATAATTGTTTTATGTTGATGTGCAAAATGTGACACGGAATATAAATGATTAAAAATTTGATAACAATTCGTAAAAATACAAATTTTCATAAAACATAAACACCATCAGTCTTGTTTTGTTTGTTCTTGCACGTATAATGGAAGTATTTATCGGAATCACCCTTAGCTATTTGGAAAACAATACTACGCCTTAAATCTTGTTTTTCATTGGTATTAATACATATTTTATTCAAAGCTTCTTTATAACATTCCAATCATCAAGGCGTCAATATTAGAAACGTCATTTGCATTTTTTTAAGTGTTGTGGTAAAATTTCGGGAAAAATTTTGCTACGGATGGTCTTGCAGAGCCTAGTAGAGTATATTTGAACAGCTGTCTTGCGTCTCCATGTTATCTTTACTCGGGCTAATAATGTAATAACTTGTTCACGTTTCATAAATATTCCTGTCTGTAGCATATTTTCTCAACTCTTACTTGTAAATACACTTCACCAACCACGGATTATCTTTTCTTATCACTCTCATTTTTGAAATTCAGTAAATTCTGATGGTCTATCAAAAAAATGTATAAAAAAAGCAGAATAAGTGGTATACTTTACACCTAGGAAACATGCTACAGCAGATTTTAGGAAGTTCCCAGCTACCAGTTTAGAAAAATATACGATAATCGCGCAAATGCAAATGCCAAGCAAGGAGACGCTGAAGATTTAGGTAATTTTTTACCCGCGTCACTCGAAAACGAAGGAAATTTTTCATACGGATTAGGAGGGACGGGGTACGAAAATGAAAAAGACATTTAACGGTTGCCTTTTTCTTTTCTCTCTAACAAATTTGTATGCAAAGTGGCGGCAGAAAATATCATGTTTCGATCGATACGGTTAACTTCCCCTGCCTGAAAATGGATGCTGCCATTAAGGTTCATCTTTCATATTTTTCCTACTTATAATGTTGAGGAAAATGCACATTTTGTGTTAAGCTACGCGGCATGTGCCAGAATCGATTAGGTGGCTTACCACTTTTAATGTAACACATTAATCACCTAGGAGCTATACAGGTACAGTACGTGTCAAAATTTATGTAGCAGTTGGTGTTGCGAAAATTCAATCCAGCGTCAAAAATGCGCTGTCGGTAAGCATATGAACAGCAAAAATTAGGCTCAACATTGAGACACTGCCTTTAAAGTGTGAATGTCTAAGTATTAGTACGTAATCTAGCGATAGTTCACTCCCTGTACCTGGCCAAAAATTACTGCCAAGAACAACAACAGAACCACTTAATTACGTATGGATTATAGATGGTTTAATGTTTCAACCAAAAACTGTGCAGATTAGTATTTTTACGGTTCTCCAACTTAAATCATCAAAATGAATATCAACAAGTACGAAATTGATACACTGGAATCTGATTCTAAATAATGCTATTGCATTTAGAAAGAACTTTGTAGAAGCAAAGACTTGGCTAAGGGAAGTATTTCTTCAAAGTGAGACCCATAAGTAAGATCTGTAATGATTCAGGACTGCCAACATAAACTGAAAGTAATGGTGCAATACAACTTTAGACTATCTGTCAGGGCAATGATGTAATCACAGTAATAAAAGTATAGATGGACTTGCAAGAGAGGATCATTCATTTCCCACATAGTTCATGTTACAAATTCGACCCCCACCAATGGAATCTCGAAAACGGTTCGAGACGAGAACTCGATCTGAACAAAAGTAAGACGGAAAAAAACGAATTATACATCGTTGAAATCACAATTCGAAATTCTATATAAAATTCCAGAGAAGCGACCATCAGAAAAAATAATATTGGAGATGGAAAGTGAGCGACGAAACACCGAAATCAAAATTTAATCATGTCACCTTGTAGAGGAGGAATTGATGCAATATCAATCTATATCTGCTGACCGCACACTTACACTTGCTATTCACTGTCGCAGGCCCGATATTTGTAGCGCTGTCGTACTTCTATCAAGAGTATATAACCTCTCATATTCTAATTGCTTATAAAGAGAAGGCCGTAGGATAAGAGAAAGCACCGTATGTGACTGGTCTCTAACCCATTGCTTCCTCATACAGAAAACAGGAAAAAAGTCTGCGTGCAACTGTGAACGTCAACCAGTTTTCGTTACACTTTAAGCAGCTTCTACCACCTAATCAGTGCTTATTCATTCTACCCGAGATTGTACCGGTTATGCTGCCTCATGACATACGGATATTGAAGGAAATGGGGACTGACGAGCCAGTGCCTGAATTTCAAAATCACCACTGACACGCGGTTTGCCCGTTCATGTACGGCACATTGGCAGTTGAGTAGATTGATACTATAAGTTTGACTTGAACAGGAAAACCGCGTTGACGTTTACACAATGACTCGTTAGTCCCCGATTCCTGTGTTTGATATCTGTAAGTTGCACAAATTTTTCTCCGAATGTTAAGAGAGACAAAAGTGTGTTTAAACAAAAATGTATGCACAGTATAGCGACACGGGCGTGTAACCACGAAGAACCTATACACGGTGTCTCATTTTCAAAGTCAAGTCAAAATTTCCGAAGGAAACCTATCATTTTTAGACCGAAAATGGAAAGAACAGGAAATTTTACATCCGAATATAACCCTGACCTTAAATAACACTTAAGCTTGACACGACCCTAACTTAGGATGTCAAGTTTCCTGCTTTTTTAATTTCCAGGATAAAAGTCAGAGGTTTCCTCTTTAAATTTTGACTTGACCTTGAACGTCATGGATAAGGTCATGATCAATGTGATGCTGGGGAGTAAAATTTGCTCTTCTTTTCAATTCTGATACGAAAAAGGAAGGGTTTCATTTGGAAATATTCACTTGGCCTTGAATGTTGAGATCAACATCATTTCAATACCCCCTGGAACCCTAAAATTTTTGTTTGAACTTTTTTGTATAATGCAAGGTTTTCGAAAGATTTAGGTAGGGAGACTAAAATGCTACTCCGTGTAGAGAGAGGTAACGTGATCAAAGACATGTTTGCTTACATAGAGCGTTTGTAAAATCAGTCGCCATAGAGATCATTTATCTTGTGCTGGCTAATAAGATTCAAGGAACGCAGAGGTTGTCTTGCCAGTCAAATAAAAAAACTACAGCACTGCACCTCTAAAAACAGTCAAGTATAATGACAGCATCGCGTCCACATCTGATTCGAGAAAAAATAATATAACAATATAACTTACACATCGCTATCCGCGTCGTCATCCTGGTCTTCGTCCTCTTCCAGAAGGTCGTCGATGGGTTCCTGCTTGACTAAGATGGCGCAGGAAAGGGCGCCGTCCCATGAGCATGGCGAGCTCGCTGAACTGAACGCTTCGTAGTGCCTGTCGGAGATGTCGTCCAGACAGTACCACGTCCGATGGTGCTCCACACTTCGGTCTACGCCCGAAAGCTTCTTGTACCCGTTCTTCATCTTCGGTTCGTCTTTCAGGTAACGTTCCATTTCGTAGCATGTCTGGAACAAACAGAATATGAAATGTTTTAACGTTCATACACTAACCACTTACGGATCGTGGTGTTGGAAAATGTTCATTAGGTAAGAATGAGAAAGTAACCCTTCTGATGGAGGCCTCTCCAGAGAAGTATAATATCTGACATCTTAAAGTACTAAACGCAAAGAGACATTTCAAAACCCACACATGGTATTAACAAGTCCATAACTGGCAAAGTTCGGAAGTTTTTACTTCAGGTCACGGTTTACTGTTTTTTTTTCTTGTCCGTGTACCAATATTTGCATACTACGATATGTCGTGGCCATATCGTAAAATTAACCATTACAAGAAATGATCGAGCATAGACTAGATAAAATGAAAACTAAAATTAAAAAACAATTTCGATCTGATTACTTCAAATACATGCACCAAATTTCAGACAAATCGATTTAAGGGTATTTTATACTGTTTTTCTTCAAACTTCAACGCCATGTACCTCAAAAATGAAGCAACTCCAGGCCCACATAAAATTATTTCTTGAAACGACTGAAAGAATTAGTTTCTTACCGTAGTTGAGAAACAACCTAAAAGCTACCTTACTGAGCATCAAAAAGGACAATGTAAAAATATTATTTGCTTTGTGATATGTTTCAAAAATCGACAAAATTATTTTCAAAATAGCTCAATATTTTCAAAAAGCCTTGTAAGGGTATTCAAGTTTCAGATTTTTTTTCATGGAGCAACATATAGATTATAACCTTATCCAATTCTGATCTTGAACACAATGTTATTATAATAGTGCTTCTGTAATTATTTGATGAATAATTTAGTTAAAATTGATTATGCTTAAAAGTAGTCTCGATGGTGGACAAGCTATCAACTATTATAATAAATTTTAAAGGCAAATCAAAAAATGAAAGCGTTGCTGATCAAGAGGTCTATCGGAATTAGGTGTTAATAGATCGTAGATACATATCTTCCCCCAACGTCAAAAAAGGATCTTTACAACGTGGGAGCTGGAAGTAAAAATGCAAATGCCATGATGTATTAAGAAAAGAAACTGTTGTACTCGTATATAGCAATGTTCATCTGACGGTTTTACGAGAAATCCGCCTACTGATTACAAACGTAATCGTATACTACCTGGGAACAGGGCCAGCGCATCACCATGAATCCGCGTACACAGAATGAAATAGAGAGAACAGGCAACATCAGCCTGCCAACGAGAGAATTAACGACCTGTTCTCACTCTCAAAACATACCCACCTATTATGTAATGAGTTTATAATTTATGGCAGAGGCAAGTTTTGGCAGTACAGGAAATTAACGAATGTGGACGAAATACATAAATATAGTGAGCAGCGCCACGCCGCACTAGCATGGTTGCCACATTTTCAGGTTTTGTACCGACAACTATAGTGACTACTATACCCAACAGTAGTTGTGAATAGCTCCTACGTCCAGTGTTATAAAAGTTACCATTTCACGACGATCATTTTACATAATGACCTTATTTTGCAGCTAATTGGGTTTTTAAGAAAAGCAAAGATTATTCGAATAGAGAAAGTGATAAGAAAACAAGTCGCCATAAAAGTGGAATATGTACGTACAATTTTAGAGCTGTACTATTATTCGTTAACAACTTACGATTTCAAAAAAATGCATAAACACTATTCAAACAAATGTATTTTTGAGATAAAACTCATTTTAGTCATTCGTTCATTTCTATGCACACTATGAAACAATCAGATGAACATTATTACGAATACTCCTCCAGACAGGCTGTTGGAACAAAAAGGGACATGCGACGTTAACGTTCCTGTTTTAGAAAAGTCTTCAAAGTCCAAATCGAAAAGTGTTGCCGATTAAGACAGACATTTTTCTTTTCTTGGAGTATATAGAGGAGTGATTAGCTTTTTCGATACCGTATACTAGCTTGGCTTCTAATGTTATCATATACTCGTACTTGTAATCTGTATATTTGTGTTCACTTCACAACATACTAACATTTCTCCTGCTTGGTCCTGCATCGCTTAGATATGATTTTGTCAGCTTTCAGTAATGTAGTTTTATTTACATGCATAGTACTTTTTGCAATTTTTGGTATTGAATACTGCGACCTATACATATATATATATATATATATATATATATATATATTCCTTAGCCTTACACTATAAAACAACATAAGATGATGTTATTTTAACACGCATTCACACACTGGAACCAACGTTCGAACCAAGATTAGTGTTGACATGGTGTGACATGCCAATTTTATGTCTATGATTTATGGATTTGAAGTAATTCTATATTAATTTCATTTTCGATGTTCAGCAGAGTACTATTCGTCATTGTTCTTCTGAGCGGTCCGGTGGACTTTTTCTCTTAGTTAAAGTCTCGTCGGTCTGTTATTCTGTCAGATTTGGCTACCCAAATACCAAACATGTTCAAAGGGTCTTCAGAAGATGTAAACAGATATCAGGTGCTATGTCAAACGTCAGAGACATAATCAGTGCATGTACGTGCTTACGGAAATCTGCCACAAAATCAAAATTTTATAAATCTACAGGTGGACCATAAGATTTTGTGAATATGTGTAGCCGTATTATTGTATAGTCCAGAAATATGCCATTTTTTATTTCGTTTGAGCCACGCAACAGGCACCACTATCCACTACCGACTGACACTGACTGTATACAACTGAATGGAATAATTGTAAAAACATCGTTCCAAATTCTTTCGCTTTTTTGTTTCCGATGCGATGAACCGATAAGGCGAATTATATCCGTTGTCGCCAAACACGAGCACATAATATTATTATTGAGACAGGGCGGTACTCAAACTTCCAAAGGGCTATAACTTTGTTACTTTAATTTTACTAGAATAATGGTAAAGGAAAAAACATTTCTTTTGATCAGATCTACTCACTGTTAAAATAAATGACTCAACTTGGAAATGAGCAGTTTAAAGGCAGTAATATCGGAACTTCACTAATCTATCGTCAAGATAATTTTTAGTATTCATCACTTCAGGATGAGAGATAGTTTTATAGTGTGAGGCTATTGAATATATATATATATATATATATATATATATATATAAAGACAACATAAGATGATGTTATTTTGCTGAAGCTGCCAAGCATCCATAATACATATGTTAGTAAGTTAGCCAAACTTTTTACAAAAATCTTTAGTCTGGCAACCTTGCCCCCCAGCACGCGCTTTCACAGCTCTCGCAAAAATATTAATGCGAAAAATATGAAAAAGAGACAGATTTATGAATAGAAAGTTTTCAATGGATTGTCATTTGCCGGGAAGTTTTGTGCTTAATGGCTAGTAACTGAGATTTGAATATATGGAATCAAACACTTCACATTCTTAATACTTTTCCAATTACTTTGTTAGAAAACTATCTCTCATCCTGAAGTGATGAATACTAAAAATTATCTTGACGATAGATTAGTGAAGTTCCGATATTACTGCCTTTAAACTGCTCATTTCCAAGTTGAGTCATTTATTTTAACAGTGAGTAGATCTGATCAAAAGAAATGTTTTTTCCTTTACCATTATTCTGGTAAAATTAAAGTAACAAAGTTATAGCCCTTTGGAAGTTTGCGTACCGCCCTGTCTCAATAATAATATTATGTGCTCGTGTTTGGCGACAACGGATATAATTCGCCTTATCGGTTCATCGCATCGGAAACAAAAAAGCGAAAGAATTTGGAACGATGTTTTTACAATTATTCCATTCAGTTGTATACAGTCAGTGTCAGTCGGTAGTGGATAGTGGTGCCTGTTGCGTGGCTCAAACGAAATAAAAAATGGCACATGTTTATGCGGATCGGTTTCCCAATCGAGTGCAACCAACCCCTCGTGCTTTTGTTAATGTAGTAACTGGCTAGTAACTGAGATTTGAATATATGGAATCAAACACTTCACATTCTTAATACTTTTCCAATTACTTTGTTAGAAAACTATCTCTCATCCTGAAGTGATGAATACTAAAAATTATCTTGACGATAGATTACTGAAGTTCCGATATTACTGCCTTTAAACTGCTCACTTCGAAGTTGAGTCATTTATTTTAACAGTGAGTAGATCTGATCAAAAGAAATTTTTTTTCCTTTGCCATTATTCTGGTAAAATTAAAGTAACAAAGTTATAGCCCTTTGGAAGTTTGCGTACCGCCCTGTCTCAATAATAATATTATGTGCTCGTGTTTGGCGACAACGGATATAATTCGCCTTATCGGTTCATCGCATCGGAAACAAAAAAGCGAAAGAATTTGGAACGATGTTTTTACAATTATTCCATTCAGTTGTATACAGTCAGTGTCAGTCGGTAGTGGATAGTGGTGCCTGTTGCGTGGCTCAAACGAAATAAAAAATGGCACATGTTTATGCGGATCGGTTTCCCAATCGAGTGCAACCAACCCCCCGTGCCTTTGTTAATGTAGTACAACGGGTTCATTTGACTTAAGACCTCACATATGGACGGCATGCCGGTGCTCCAAGACCTCACGATCAAATACAGGTCCGCACTGAAATACTTGTCGGGAGGATACTTTATAAAACAAGGTAAATTTTTTTTTTTAATTTTTTTTTTATTTTTACATACATATTTTGGTTTATCTTCCTTCTACAATCATTATCTGAAAATTAATGACTCAGCTTCAAAGTCACCCTGTATACATCTGCTGCATATTTCTGGACTATACAATAATACGGCTACACATATTCACAAAATCTTATGGTCCACCTGTAGATTTATAAAATTTTGATTTTGTGGCAGATTTCCGTAAGCACGTACATGCACTGATTATGTCTCTGACGTTTGACATAGCACCTGATATCTGTTTACATCTTCTGAAGACCCTTTGAACATGTTTGGTATTTGGGTAGCCAAATCTGACAGAATAACAGACCGACGAGACTTTAACTAAGAGAAAAAGTCCACCGGACCGCTCAGAAGAACAATGACGAATAGTACTCTGCTGAACATCGAAAATGAAATTAATATAGAAT